ATATGTTCACATTATTTTATACACTTTTTACACCATGTAATAAAGCACTGACATAAAGGTAAGATGTGTTCACATCACATCATGATGCTTCCGACTTAAAATAAAGATAAATGCATATCACGTAATAATGTTTTGATATAATAGAAATATACACTCTCAAAAAGGAATGGACTTTTGACTTCATGTAATGATAAGATTAATTATAAAACACAATTTGCTTGACATAATGCAATTTTGACCTCGCATATTAAAGAAATGAAATGATGTAAAGAAGCATTCATTTCACGTAATAAAGTTTTAACACAATGTAAACACATAACCACTTCAAATAATGGATTTTTTACTTCAAGTTATGAAGTGCTGACATAATAAAAGAATGCATTTACTTCATGTAATGCAGCATTGACATGATGTTAAGATATTTTCACATCATCTCATAAAAATAGACATAACGCAAAGATATGTTCACATCACGTAATGGTAAATGACATAATAAATGCATAGTTGTATGCTATAAGGCAGTGATGGCGTTCCATATCATGCAACAAAAGACCTTGGTTTATATGGTCTCTTTCGAATGATGTATCAAAGTCTCGCAATGGGACTTGAAAGCGACGTAAGGACGTAAGTCTTACTTCACGACTATCCAGTTGCGTAAATAAAACCAATGATATGACCCAGTGACTTTATAATAATCATTCAGCATGCATTCATTGTTACATTTTATTGATATTAAACATCTGTTAATGTCTATTTCTTGACTGTTTCATGGTTTTGCCGATTCCCCCATACAATTAATCTAACGGATATAAATGAGACACGAATATAACTGATACAGTTGATTCTTTTGGTTCTTAAAAGCATCTTTAATGTCTGTCTTTTATGCTAAAAATAACTGTATCTGCGTTTTGTTTTAGACTTGATTATTTGGAAGCTTGACTTCTTCACTTGTCAGATTTTTTTCTTTGAAGAATTGTTAATATTGATTTTCTTCCACAAAATGGAAAAAAATCGTTTATCTTGAGGTTTCTCGAATATCAATAAAAATCAATGAAAAATAGAAAATATTCCTAAAATATATTTTCCTTGAAGCAGAAAATTTTGTTTAAAGTGGTCCTTCAGATATCCGGAAGCCAGATATCCGGATGCTTCAGTATCCGGACGATTTTGCATCGGAGCAGACTTTTTTAAACCTTATTATGTCTTGTTTAACTGGTAATTCAGATATCCGGACAATTCACATATATCCGGAAAAATTGACTAGGAACCAAGGTGTTCGGATATATGAGGCTCCACTATACGTGATTGTGAATTCATACCAAAGCTTTTGTTTCTTCATTGTCACTTTCAATCTTAACTACTTTATTTCACACAGGTAAGAATTAGGAAAGTTAAAGGGTCTTTTAAAAAAATCCATGAATATTCTAATTCTAAATATAATGATATTTTAAAACTTTATTTCAATGAATACCATATTCTACCCTGTTATATAATAGAAAACTCGTGGTACGGTACGTGTGAGCACTGAGCTAAGAAAATTATCACCTCCCCCGCCTCCCATTTGATTATAATATGGCGAAGTCAAGTTTCACTCTGAGAAACCCGAAATAAGTATCAGATCAAAATGTAAAATAGCAGGTACACAATGTAGTAAAGAATCTGAACATATAATTACACTTATTCAGTGGTAAAGGAGGAATTCCAGAAAAGAAATAGGTATACCCCTCAATATTAGAGAAAGATTGGCTTTGTCAATAAGAAACCCGAAATACGTATCCGATCAAAAAGTAAAATAGAAGGTCACAATGGCACTGTGTGACAGAGATTCTGTGAAAATCAAAACTAAACTGTGATTGAGTGCTCTAAAGGACTTGTGGATAAGAGATGGGTATCCTAAAGCATACAGACGAACATCCTCATCACTATATACCCAACTGCTTTTCAAGAGAGGGGTAAAAAAAATTACATTCGTCATGTAGATTACTTAAATACATTGCCATTTTTTTGTGAGATAACTATTTTAAATTTATAAACGAGATAAAATTTTCGCGAGCAGGCAGAGTGTTGTACGTGAGCCTTAATGTATGCAAAAATGTAATTTTCGCGGGCAGATCAGGGTGATTACGCAAAAATACAATTCCTGCAAACAGAAAGTGGTAGGAGATTGGATAAATAGTTAGCAATGTAGAAAATTTTGCAACAATATTTTACATTTGTAATGTTTTTTAGCAGAGACATATATGATTTTTGTCTCGAGAACTAAAAGATAGACCAATTAATGAAAATAATAATTACCAAAAGGTTCTGCTATTTCCTCTTTAAATATCTGATCAACATTTCTGTGTTTTGGATCCGCCTTCCTCAACAACACGTCTACATACATTCCAAAGGTTATTACATGGTAGGAGTATGCTGTACCTGTAAGTAAATTAGATGAACTATTTTACAAATCATTGCTGAAAGCGATTAAAACCTGTCCTTAAGATGTACCCTCAAAGGTGCGATTGTTTCACGTGTCTGTTAGAGGGCTGATATTGTTGTATCGGGTTGATGCAAGATTTGACACAAGGAAAAAGGTCTTGTAATATTCTCTATTTTTCAGTCCAGCAAGATCCCTATCAGCCATGAAAGTTGGTATGACTACCGAGAGGTAAGGCACATTACACAAATGCAAAAAATCGGGATGCCAGTCCGTCCGTCTGTTACGCTTTGGAGTACCCATCTCTTATCTGCAACTCCTCTTATACCACTGAATGATTTGATGAGACTTTCAAAGAATATTTATAACATGTTGCCATTGTGCACCTCTTATTTTACTTTTTGATCCAACACATATCTCTGGTTTCCCATAGCAAAACATGGACACTGCCATTACATTCATATATGGGAGGTGGGGGTATCATTTAGTGAGTTCATTGCTCACAGTGCCTCTAGTTATTACTATATTTAAAATTAAAAGATATAATTACTAGTATGAATGTTTAAAAAAAAAACAACTGAGATTGAATTGCTACCTGGTTTCCAAATCGGCTCCTGTTCCTCTAAAAACTCCTCCACTTTTGTTTGGTTTGTTTTCAGAAGCCGTATATCAATTGTTCCTTTTGTAATGGATAACCCGGCCTTTAAGTAAAATCTACATAATACTACATCTTTTATATATGTAACATTATAAACTTGTAAAATCTAGTGAGCTTTGGGTATGATTTACTTTGTTTTATAACTCCATTGTTAAAGTCGATTTATAATATCTTACAACGTTTCTAAGAATTTGATGAAAGATATGGATTCGGATTATAAATTTACCCTAGATACTGAGCTAGCAATTCAGATAATTTAAGCAGCTATACCTTTGCCACACGTCATTCGTCTTGTATAAAGAGAATAATTTGTGTTTATGTAAAATACCGTTTGGTGCCACAAAATTAAACTGTTCAATTCGGATAATTAAAAGAAGATTGAATATAAACAGGATTAAGCCATATTTCCAAACCTCTGTGAATAATCTCTTAACCGAATGATACAGTTTCACCATGCAAAATAACTGTTCATGTGCCACTGAAGCTCTACTGGTTTTTACTTATAGCAATGGAAGAGAAAAGTAGCAGTTGGGAATTGAAACTTTAAAACAGCAGTAAATAGAATAATGATCCTTGATTAAATCTCTTTATGTTTTTAATGTAGTCTACTTGCATGCCACATTATATTATAATCAGACTAAAACTGTATTTGGAGAAGCATCTTTACGGATTACGGAGTATTTTACGGAAATTTCTATTTTTAGTAACCAAGGCAATAATGTTCATGGAAGTCAAAAACCGATATACAGAATTGTGTATCTAATAATCGTAGTGTAGTCTACTTGTGTGCCAAGTTATATTGAAATCAGACCAAAACAGTAGGAGACATAGCATTTTGAAAGAATTTCACAAAAATTTATATTTTTAGTAACCACGGCAACACCGTTCATCAAAATCAAAAACGATAAAAAGAATTATGTACCTTGGTGTAGTCTACTGGTGTGCCAAGTTATATTAAAATCAGACCAAAACTGTAGGAGGTGTAGCATTTTGAAAAATTGTTTACAGACAGACAGACAGACGGACGGACGCCGCATTACTATCGCATAAGCTCTTCTGATCTCTGACCAGTAGAGGTAATAAATTCAAAATTATTTTAGATATAAATTAGATGCCCTCATAAGCCAGATATACATGTATTTGATTATGAAAATGAAAAATTCGAGACCTGAATGAATGAACACCTACAGGATACCGCCAATCATATTCTAAAGATGATATGGCTTCTGCGAAAAAATGAAAGGAGACACAGAAAATATGCATTAAGTAAAAAAAAAAAGACCCCTAAGGAAATGAAAATATACTAAATAAAATAAATTGCGTATTTTTTAGACTCCACTAATCATTTTCCAAAATATAACTCTGCAACTCGTAAAATGTTAGGAGAAATCTTCAATCTCAGGTGATTGTTAGAGAAAACAAGTTGTGTTTGTGAAACACTGATGCCCCCGTATGGCAACATAGCGAAGGTTAAGCTTTCTCAAATGCAGATAAAATATGTTGGTACCAAAGTAAGGCCTTTTCACAAGAAATGCAAAATATAAAACGCTAGCTACACTTGTTCAAGGGTTATGACCAAGGTTAACATTTCTGAAGGTAGGACAAACTCCGGGGTTCAGGTCAAAGGGTCAATGTTATTGGTTTCTAAAGAAAAGCCTTGTCTCAAAGATTACATATGGGAAGTATGAAAGCGCTGGCCCTTACCGTTCAAAAGTTATGGCCAAGGTTAAAGTTTGTAAAAAGTAGGTCAAACTCTAAGGTCAAGGTCAAAGGGTCAAGATTCTTGATATCCAATGAAAGGTCTTGTCACAAGGATTACACAAGTGAAATATGAAAGCTCTAGCCCCTACTGTTCAAAAGTGATGGTCAAAGTTAAAGTTTGTAAAAAATAGGTCAAACTCCAAGGTCAAGGTCAAAGGGTCAAGGTTCTTGATATCAAATGAACGATCTTGTCACAAGAATTAAATTTGTGAAGAATGAATGCCCTAGTCCGAACCCTTAAAAAAATATGGTCAATGTTGTATTTTGAAAGTAGGTCAAACTCCATGGTCAAGGTCAAAGGGTCAAGGTTCTTGGTATCCAATGAAAGGTCTTTTCATCAGAATTATATATGTGAAGTATGAAAGCCCTAGTACTTATTCTTCAAAAATTATGGCCAAGGTTAAAGTTTTTTCATAGGTACGGAAATCTCCAAGATCAAGGACAAAGGTTAAGGTTGTTGGTATTTAATGAAAGGTCTTTCCACAACGAATACATATGTAAAAAAAAATATATAAATGTCCTGGTATCTATTGTTCAAAAGATATGACCAAAGTAAAAGTTCAAAATATTTGTGTTAAAGTGGGTCAAACTCCAAGGTCAAGGTCAAAAGGTCAAATTTGGTAGTACCCCCAAGAAAGGTCTGTCACAAGGAATACACATGTGAAATATGAATGTCATAGCTCCACTATATCAAAAATTATAGGCAAGGTTAAAGTTTTTGCGGACAAACAGACGTACAGAGAGACAGCTAGACAGACGGACGGACGGACACGACAAAAACTACATACCCCCGAAACTTCGATTACGGGGGCATAAAATATTAAGGATTGATTTCGAATTCCAGAGTCAATATCAACAAATGTTGGTCTATATTACATTTTTGATGATACAATTGGTGAAATTGATATATTAACTTCATAGAATTCCTTGAAAATGAACACGTTAATTTATCCTTTTTTAGCCAAATAAAGTTCTCAGGAATGTAAAATGCGGTATATACCTGGTGACTTAGTAACATATCTACAGTAATATTCTCCTTGCCATTCTTCCCAAACTCCGGCCAGTAATAGGACACCCGCTTCTTGTAGTCCAAGTAGCCTCTGAAGTAAAGAGAGGGTACAGGTGAAACATTTCATGATTACGAAGTTATTTTAAATTTTGATGAAAATAGCGTGGTTGCCGGCCGGGCACCACTAGTAATCGGACGGTGACTGAGGCCATTTTGCGAATCGGTGGGGTCATCGGTAGGAAATAATTCGTAGTTAAAATTCAGCGATGTCTCCAACGATGCCTCACATCGCTCCTCATCGGCAACCCATCATTAACACGTCTTTCAAGGATCGGCCGATGTATGGTCGAGCATCGTCCAATTTTCGTTTAATTTGAGGTTATCGGGGGGTTGAGTGGTGTTCAACAGATAACGGCCGATCATCGGTCGATGTTCGACCAAACACTGACATGTAGTCAACCGATGTACAAAAGATGTTCACCAATGTATGAGCGATGAAATATACATCGGCCGATTATCCTGGAACATCGTTTTATGATGAGCCATAACTCGCTGAGCCTTTGTAAGTCCGGCCGGCAACCACGCCATTTTTATCATAAAACGCATTGGTTGCCCATCGTATACCCATCGCTGGATAATGTAACTGATACTTTAAGGACTAGTAGGCCGATGTTGACCGATGTTGGGGCATCGCTAACACCACGGATTACCACCGGTCTACGGCTACCGGCCGGGAAATGTGACCTAGGCATAAAGGGGGTCATTTTTCAATGTGGGTCATTATTTTATAGGACTAACATATAAAATAATGACCCCCATACTCTTTGACAAAAAATGATTTTTTTCTACGGGTGGGGGTCATTTTTTGTCGTTGAAAAATGACCCCCCGGTCATTATTCGATGGGGGTCATTATTCGTCTTTACACCGGCCTTTAAAAGAGGCATACATGTATTGGAAGATGGTTGACATTGGTTTATCCTGTAGGTGGGTTCCTAAATTATTTCCAATCCAAATGCTCTGAGCAGTTTTAGTATACGTTATCCAATCCCCCATCTCCAAGAATCCCCCATGAAAGTATCACAGTCATGTTAGTACACTTGTATACAGTTAAAGGAATACGTTTGTCGCCACTTTTAAAATACCAAATTTCATATTGTTGACAACAACCTTGTGCTTGTAGAAATTTAACCATTGTCAAAGCTCCGCGTGCACTTTAAGACTATTCAGAATTTTCATTCTTACTGGTAAGCTAACAATGCCCCTATTTGCTTTATTTGAAAGATAAGTTTATACGTGAACCATTTACACATATAGACAGATTTTCCTGTTCGACTGTATAGGACATATATATGCCAGAAAACGGATTAAACGACCGATCAGATATTGCGTAAAATTATGGTAAGATAATACACTGAAGATATTATCAACGGGAATTAACTCGAAGTCGATTTGATGAAAATTTATACCTCGAATGTGCCCCTAAGCTAGCTTGATTGGTATGTCTGTGCCATTTTTCATACTTAAAAAAAATCAAAATATAAAGACTATTTCGTTTGTTTTGTTTTTTTTTAATGTCCCTTCGAGAATTTTCGATCACATTGAGACACCACTTGCCTGTGGAGGGGTGCAAATCTAAACCTATGCTCGACCTTTGAGCAGTAAGAGATCAGCACCAACTGCGATCACAGGCACTGGTGGTATGGCCCACCCCACTCCCTGCCCTATTTTTTTTTTCTTTTTAAATCTGAGGTCGAGCCACCATCCCCTATTTTTGTATTCTAATATACACTATATGTTATCGATAATGTAACCCTTTGGCCCCTATAAAATGTTTTAAATATATTGTTACCCTAGCCCTTACCGTTCAAAAGTTATGGGCAAGGTAAAAAAAAATCATAAGTACGGAAATATCCAAGGTCAAGGTCAAAAGGTCAAAGTTTTTAGTATCAAATGAAAGGTAATGCCAAAAAACTACATATTTGAAGTATGAGAGTACTAGTATCTACCGTTTAAAAGTTATGGCCAAAGTAAAAATTTGGCATTTTTGTGTAAAATGGGACAAACTCCAAGGTAAAGGTCAAAAGGTCAAATTTGGTGGTACCCAAATAAGGTCTTGTCACAAGGAATACACATATTAAATATGAAAGTCATAGCTCCAATAATGAAAAGTTATGGTCAAGGTTAAGGTTTTTGCGGACAAACAAACCGCCAGATAGACGGACATACAGACGAACACGATAAAACTATATACCCCCGAATCTTCGATTACGGGGACATAAAAAGAAATGGTCTTCAATTAACTTTTCATATTATGATACATTATAAAGAAGACGTTACAACAATGAAAATGTTTGTTCTGATTTTCATATTAAATTCTCTGAAAAATATACTCAGAACTGAGTAAAAGGGTGGAGTAAAACAAGAATTAAGGTAGAACCTATGTTTGAAAAGTCTTTGTCACAAGATTTTCAAACTTTTCAAAATGATAAATTAGTACTTGCTTATCAATCAGTTAAAATATCATGATATTGTTCCTTGTTTTTAATCTAGAGCAGGCTGTGAAACTTGGTATGGTATTTACATACTGCGACTTAACATTTTCAAATATTTTTAGGGGTACTTGTCATAAAGGGAATATGAAAAATCACAAAAATACTTCTTCAAACATCGTCGTTTATAAACTTTATTAACTGAATAATATTAAACAATATTTTATCAAGAATAATTTCTTTTTTATTCAATTAACATAAAAGATAAGTCCACCATTAAAAAAATAGTCAAATGAACTCTATTATTTTTAGTCAATTATGCACCCTATACTTGTAAATATTTTTTAGAAGTCTTTGTCACAATGTTTTCAATCTTCAATATGATGAAGAACATAGCCAAATGATTACAAAAAGTGATTAAGATATATACATTTCCCCTCTAACTAATGAAAGATAGGCTATTTACCGATACTCATATTCTTGACCTTTTTGCACTTACACAGGATTTAATAATTAAATGACTGTTTGGGGTTACTTTCAGATTAAATATTTATCAGAAATTGTACTTTTACTTTAAAAAGATCATATTTAATAGAAAAATTGTAATCAAACACCAAGAATATGAATAGGTAACAAATAATTGTTAAAAGGAATGCACATCATTTCATTATAGATATCACAAAAATGTACACACGATCAAACGATCTACAACACGTACATCTTTGACTTAGACACATTTCATCAAGATATTACACTATATAGCTGGCAACTAAAGATTTCTTACGATTTATGCATTCCTTCAAAATGGTTACATACCATTCAAATTATTACGAAAGTTGTATGTACATTGTAATTTCATTACACTAGATAGTCTTGGGTTTGTCAACTTAAGGTCTAGATCTATTAAATAAAAGGTGCCTACACATTTTCTCTTATTCCAGAAATATATTGCCATTAAGCATTATAAACCCAAAAATATATGAATTGAATTAAGATTATGTTGGCATGATTGAATTCTGTGAATTTCAAAATGCAGCATTTTCTACCATTTCTATTGAAGCTGTCAAGTACGGGGAAAAGTGGCATTGAATTAATTATGACGTCTTAATGGGTTAGCACAGGTTAAACACATTTACCAGTTATGATGTCATACGAAGTAGGTTCTACGTTAAAAGAAATGTAATGAATACTGTGTGCTAAATCAAAAGTTTATGTCTACATGTATAGTTTTTGCATTAGAATGACTGTGTATTTTACACTAGCCCATAGCTTTACAGAGCATATTTTTAGGTCTTATACTTACCCCACCCCCTTTCTTATTTAGGAGGAAGTCGATATTGAACAAAAGCAACAAAAAAAAAAAAAACACCCTACCTTTATTTTTCTATAAGAAGGAATTAAAAATAAGCTTAAAATAATCTACTATTCTACTAATTTTTAACTGTTACTTTGCCACAATACTTTCAAGTATACCTCCACCAACACTTAAAGTATGCTTTAATCATGGCGAAGTAAATTATAATATGATAGTACTTGTGTGAAGGCTTAACTTCATTTCAATATTTTATCTAGAGCCTCTTTCAGAATTATTGAAAGGTATAGAGTTATTTTTTTATTTTTGCTTTTCATTTATTATTATTTTTTTTGTTTTGATTTAACGTAATGTTCTTTCTTTTTTTGGGTGGGGGGGGGGGGTGGTAAAAATTTCCTCCTCTTTCATTGTCAAATAGGATTTGCCAAACTTAAACAAACTAAAAGTTGAAATGACGGAAAATTTAATTTTTCCTATTAAAGAGTATTTAAAACTGATTTTTGCATGGTTTGATTTCTAAAAACAAGTGGAATATCATTCTTTTAGCAAACATTATAAGGAGGAATATTAAAAAGAAATTTTATTTACTTGACAATTAAAGAATCTCTTTTCAAACACAATTTTAGCATTGAAAGACTACGTGAATCTCTTAATTATTTCATACGACTTTTGTATTTTTCTGGTTACAGAAAATGTAAAAATTAGTTTCGCTGTAAAAAAGATATATATTTTGTATCACTTTAAAGGGGGTCATTATTTTATAGGACTAACATATAAAATAATGACCCCCTAGGACTCTTTTTCTACAAAAAATGATTTTTTTCTACGGGTGGGGGTAATTTTTTGTCGTTGAAAAATGACCCCCCGGTCATTATTCGATGGGGGTCATTATTCGTCTTTACACCGGCCGGCAACCACGCCATTTTTATCATAAAACGCATTGGTTGCCCATCGTATACCCATCGCTGGATAATGCGACTGATTCTTTAAGGACTGCTAGGCGGATGTGGACCGATGTTAGGGCATCGTTAACACCACGGATTACCACCGATTACCACCGGTCTACGGCTACCGCCCGGGAAATGTGACCTAGGCATTACAGTTCGTTATCATCAAATTCCATATAAATAAAACGGTGTATAGTGTATATTGCTATTATATACATGTACCAAACTTGTGTTAAATATGGTTGCTTGTATACATGTTTATTTAGGTTACTAAAAATGTTTGCATCCATTTTTTTTTCCAAAAATCTTGTAATATGTGCATTCATTTCATACCTTGTAAAACACTGAATATCTTCGTAAATACGAATTATTTATCAATGTCATAAGATATCAAAAGATTTTTAAAAATATCGTGAGTTAGGATCGTATCCAATTTAATAAATCGACAAAAACTTCGATCTTGAGAAAATTTATGCAATTCTTGAAAAACAAATATTTACTAATCTCTGTGTCAAATATTTTTCTCTATATTTTGGAGGGAAAAACCTCAACTTATGTATTGGAAAAAAACACAAATGATATGTTAAAGAAAGATTATATCAATTTAACAGATAGGAAGAGGGAGAAATGCCAATTTCATTTTGATTTTACCTTTGTACAAAGAGTGCCACGATGATGGCGGTAACTCCTTTAGTTGTAGAGAACATGATGGACAGGGTGTCATTTTTCCAGGGCCGCCCCGCCTCAATGTCCGAGTATCCTCCCCATAGATCCACCACTAACTCCCCCTTGTAATAGGCAGAAAAACAGGCCGCCTTCTCTTTATTTGTCTCAATGTTTTTCCTGGAAGAGGAAGGTGTATTCTGTTGTAACGGAGGTTTTTTTAAAGTAATATTTAACTTTTCAACGTTTTTTAATGATTGAAACTTACAATCTTGATCAGATGTAGTTTATCTAAAATACTTAAATGTTAAGTGAAAAGTTCAGCTAACAATTAACTAACCCCTGTCTTACTCAATCGTGCAACAAATTGGTTAAGACGAACCTTTTGATATATTATCTTAATTGTTCATTTGATCCTCTTTTGCATTAAGATATTTCAGAACATTAATTTATAACCGTAAACTCCCTTGAAAAGGAAAATAAAGAGCAGTTACTGTTTTTTTCCTTCAATTTGAGGAATGAAGCATGAGTGAATACTTAGTAGTACGCGTTAGGTTCTGTGCTACGGTGGGGTATTTTGAATAAAATGCATGATTTCTTCATTTTTTTTTCTTTTCTGCTACTTGATATTAAACAAACAAACCAAGTACATTGTTATTATGAGTAATAGAGAATTAGGTCGTTTTAATTAACAATGAATTGTATTATCTCTATTGAAATTATTATATTTTTATAATATCAACACTGTATTTATTATCACCATTATTAATAATTGATATTATTTCCTTATTCATAAAACAATTGTCTTTGTTCTTCTATGTACATGTATATATTATTGTAAAATTTTGTAAATGTTGTATGGCTATTGAGATATTATGTATGGGAGAGGACTATCTAAGTTGCTAGAACTTGTGTCCGATCCCTTTGACATATTGTCAATAAAATATGTTCAAAACAATAGAGAATTTTTCAAAAAAGTGAATTTCAGGGCCTCTGTGTAATCGGTTCTGGTGTTGGGACAGGGCTCTAATTAACATGTTGTGAAAATGCATTGATTATAATAAAATTGAAATGCATTGAAATCCTTCGCTGTTGAGGGCCTGAGTATTTAGCAGATAAACTAAGTGCATGGTGAGCATTTTCATGCGCAAAATTGCCTCCTCCAGAACTACATGTATAAAACTTTTGACACCAGACTCAGGGGCTCTAACAGGGGGTAGGTAAGTGCCTCTTGAATATAGTGAAGAAAACACTCTTTATTTTAAATTATTTAAAATCTTTTTCTATGACCCTGGGTATTTAGCAAACTAATTGCATGCATGGTTATGATGAGAAAGTGCCTTTTGAAAAAGTTTAAAATTCATTACCCCTGGATCGGGTGTTTTTATGTTAGGGTGGGGCTTTTTTTAACATATAGAAAAATGTTAAATTTCTTAGAAAATCTTCTCTGCCAAGGGTATTTAACAAATATAGTAATATATAGTTACGATGAGCAAGAGTAATAAATTTTCCAAATGTATGAATATGTTATAATTAGGGACTGTGAAATTTCAGTGTTTACAGTGTTTAACTGTTATGATGAAAAAGTTTTAAGAAATCTTTAATTGCTTCGATCCTAGGTATCTAAAAAGTCAACGGAGTATAAAAAAGTTGTAATATGAAACGGTATTTTATACCCGAGTTTTGAAACTCTGAACCACTTGATCAATATATTAATTCTAATGAAAGTAGTTATTTTTCTTTGATATTCAATAAAATTAATATGATTGTAAATCACTGAAAACGAGAGGTACTGTGAGCAACGAGCTCACTAAATGATACCCCCCGCGCCTCCTAGATGATTATAATGACAAAGTCCCTGAACAAATGGCAGTGTCAATGTTTTTCTCTGGAAAACGAAAAATATGTGTCTGTTCACAAATTAAAATAGGAGGTGCACAATGGCAATATATACTAGTACTCAAGTAAAAAGATTCTGTGAAGGTCTCATTAAATTTCATTCAGTGGTAAAAGAGGAGTTGCGAAAAAGAAATAGGTACCCAAAAGCGTAACAGACGGATGGACGGACAAACAGGAATTTATAACATATCCCATTGTGCACCTCAAATTTTACTTTTAGATCTGACACTTATTTCGGGTCTCCAAAGGCAAAACAGGGACTTATTCATTATAATCCTATGGGAGGAGGGGGTATCATTTAGTGAGCTCGTTGCTCACAGTACCTCTAGTTTTTTTACGGTACACCACATATAGACTTTTAAATTGTAGATAAATACAATGGAGGAAAATACCTGTTATTCTTTATATTTTTTAAAATTTTATTTGTATTGTTGAATATGTATTTATATCCCCCGCTTGAAAAGCGGGAGGGTATATAGTAATCGTTAATTCCGTCCGTCTGTACGTCTGTCCGTCCGTCCGTCCGTCCGTCTGTTACGCTTTGGGGTACCCATCTGTTATCCGCAACTCCTCTCATAAGGAAATTTAATGAAACTTTCACAGAATCTTCATTACATATTGCCATTGTGCACCTTCTATTTTACTTTTTGAACTGACCTATATTTTGGATTTTCCAGAGCAAAACATGGACACTGCCATTATATTCATATGGGAGGCGGGCGGTATGATTTAGCGAGCTCATTGCTCACAGTGCCTCTAGTTTGGAATACCACCCGTCGTCAAGCAATGTTGACTGTTGCTGGAGGGCGTGGCTTCATTGTTCAGCGGGTAGTAGTGTTTTTTAGCAAATGTTTCTCGACCAATCAGATTTAACTAATTTTCATGAGAGTATAATATTATACACTTATCCACTGGTTGTGAGTGGGAATAGTCCCTGTCAAGAGTTTGATAAAAGAGCTATCCCACTCACAACCAGTGGATAAGCGTTTTATTATACTGATGTATAATATGATTTCTGAGGTTTGAATTTTTTGGAGTAAGATAATACTGCAAGAATAATCTGAAATCCTGATGACGTCACAATGTTACTGAAGTCATTATGACATCATCTGTCAATCAAAATTGGCGGCAAAAATTGCAAGAAAATTTTTCGAGGGTGGATAGCAAAAACTATACCCCGGGGTATAGCTTTGCTATGCATGAATTATAAAAGATAGTTATTTTACCTTCTTAACTTTATATAGGAAACATTTTAACAGAAGTATAATAAAACCCTTTGTTTAACACGTTATCATCAATTTTGTTACGCAAACCAGGCTATTGTGACGTCTACTACTCTCGTGAGTTTTCGTTCAACGAACGACAACTATATTGCGGGAAAATACACTAGGTGTTCCGAAGAGGTGGAATATGATGAAAAGCGTGCCGATGGCCGTGAAATATGAAGTTTTACGGCCCGATCACGTGATAACCTAGAACCAATCAGATTACGCGTTGTATAGAATATTTATAATGAGGTATAATAATATCAAATATTCACTTCCTGGTTATTGATCTGCATGATATGTATAATGTATCTATTATAGCTCTAAAATAAAACATTCAAGCAAAATTAAAAAAACATTGGAAAAAATAAAACTTACTTGAATACATCGTAAACTCTCTGAAAAGCCGGGTGAACATATCCCCTAAAGAGGGCGGTAGATCACTCTCAAACCATCGAGAGCTCTGTAACAGTATAAGCATCACGACGCCACAGGCAAAGTACTTTAGAGTTTTTAATCTGGATGTTTCTTTTTGTTTTTCATTCATTATTTTCGAAACTCCATCAAGTCATTGAAGAATGCACGCCAGCGACTGCAATCTGTCGTAACGAGAAAATATTTTGTTACCAACTGGTTTGATAAAAATAGGGTTTTACTTCAAGATAGCAGATAGCTACATCGCACATACGGATATTGTATATATAATTCATTGTTCTCTTTTATTTTGTTTTTTTCTGATGTATTGCTTGACCCATATGGGTGTAATATGCAATAAAGATTATTACTATTAAAAAGTGCATATTAATTGTGCATGAAAAAGTACAGTGTATTTTGATTTTTTAATAATTTATTAAAAATTTTATGCTAAAACAAAGTTTAACATAAAACTATATTTTTACTGCTTCCATAACAAAACTGCAGATACATCTCATGCATGTTAAAAGCGCATAGACAAAATTGTCTCGTCAACCAAAATAGTAGTATAAATGAGGAAAATTTTCGCTGGTCTCCATATCTGACCCAGAAAGATTATATGATAAACAACAGTTTGAGGAAATGCTATGTGGGTTCCCTTTCCGAAATCTGTTAAATGCAGAATTTGAGCAATCTGTCACTTTTCGAAATCATGCAGACTAATATGATCTTTTCTATAACCCTAGTTCAATGCAGATTGAAAGTTATTTCGAGCATTAAGTTTTGCACGTGTGAGAAAAATTGAGATACATATAGGCTTTCCTGAAAGCTACCGCAATCAGTGGTTGCTATGTTAAAAATGTAACTTCCGTTTTAAAAAGTGTGTTTGCATTTTTAAAAGCCTCGGCAAAATTCTCCAGTCTTTGTAATTTTCTATCTTTACAGATAGTATCAATAAATATGTTAATTATGTAAGCCTGACTATCAGTGAATTACATGTACGTGGCCTGTCTAAATCTGTCAACCTTTCTATTTACCCACTTTTTAAACATACGTATTTTGTCTCTTTAAAAAGTCTAAAATTGTTTTAGAGGGTTCGTCATACAACGATATTGGACAGATCCTTTTCCGTTTTTTAGTGTTTGTCCACATCATGTGCAAAAAAAATAAAAGAAAAAAAAGAACAGACCTCAAATGTGGCTGGGTAATATACTTATATTTAAAGTGAAAGAAAAATGCAATCAAGAGGATCGAATATTCACATCGAAATCGTCGAAAATTTACAAGCTTCCGGGGCTTCGCTCACTCTTCCCTATTGGGGGTCTTAATGCGGCCCCAAACCTGCCCACTCGGGCGTCCATATCAAAAGTGCCCTGGCTACGCCCCTGAAGCGAGTAGCTATCCTACATGTGCCAAGCTATTTTCCCCAAAGTTCACAGACAAAAAGTCCGTGTGAAATATACACTTTTTGTTAATGGCGTTACAGCTCTCTGGTCGTCCATGCCACCTGATCTGAAACTTCATAAATACAGATTGAAAGTTTAAAACCTGTAAATACATCTACATGGTTTTTGTTTTGTTTTTCAATTAAAAAGATACATGACACTTCCTGAGGTTTCCGGGCCCATTGACTTAATTACACGAATAAATCTCAGTAGCTAAAAACACGGTATACTTCTAATTCGATGTGTTTAAGTGGAAGTTGACATTAAAAGTCTGCGAAATTTAAATTTACCTCTCCTGAGAGGTGACAGACCTCGACTCAAGTATAACTACTCACTTGCAATTGCATAACTTTCTTTGAAGAGCTACCGCGTTTGTCTAGTTTAAAAAGAGTATCCTGGAAATGATAATATTTTCCTCAGTTACGACTATTTTATCAAGAATACTGCAATGTAGCTTTTATATTTACGTGAACACAGCATTAAAGTTGTATTTCTTATACTTAAAATTTTTTTATCTACTTACAATTTATTGTAAATTTCGCCTATGCATGCATGACAATTTTCTGGGCTATCAGAGTATTATACATCTTCGGTAGCAATTTTATATGATAGGAATTTTTAAATTAAAATATTTACATTTTTACTTTTGCATACAAATGTTAATATCAAGAAACAGTTACACATTTGATGGGAATGCCGGGGGAATTAGGACTTTTGGAAACATGGAATAATTTATGCATAACGGGCTTCCACCGTTTGCAAATTATACCACGTTTGCATACCAAGCAAATCAGTTAAGGAATATTAACAAATTAAATATATGTTGAAATAAATAAAAAAAATAGAAATGACCCAGAAATAAAATAACTTACAAAATTAAGCAAAAACGCAAAAATAGCCCCCCCCCTTTCAGAAGTTTACTGTACTTGTTTTGTGATCCCGTGCTACATGTATGTTATACATCCGTTTATTTCTGGTTAAAATGTTTTATTAAATCGCAGCTTCTTTTTTCCCCTCTCACACACACAAAACCCCCCCTCTCTCTTTATTTCATTACATTTAACTTCCTTTTCATATTTTTTTATTTTCTATTGTTTCAAAAAATTTTCTAGAATTGAATTCTATGAATTGTCTATTCAATTGTTTTATATTTCATATTTTACTTGAAAAAAGACGCCAATGGTAGTCTTAAAACCCAAAGCTAATGAAAAAAGTGATGACTTCAACGTTTCAATCGTCAACTTCCCCTCTTATTATCAATATACCTTATCATCTCATAGCATTTATCTCTAGTTGATTTGATATGAAAACAGACATACACAATTTTATAAACCGAGGTAAATTATTGATAGCTGCAGTTTTAGTCTCCAAAAAGATATATTATAACCGGTCTATCAATATTTTTTTTTCGGGGGCTCAGATTAGCTAAAATTAAAAAAGTTATGAAACAAGAATATCTCGTTTAAAGACGTCATTTCGTAAGTTTTATGGCTAAAATGACCTTGCCAGCAAGTACAATTTATCATTAGTCATATGCTGACTGATTTTTTTTCATACCTATTGTTATCCATTATTTACACACTGAATTGACGACGAATTTTTTTCAATTATTTCCCACATACAAGGAGCACACTGCTGGTGTGACCGTGCGGGGATGCTAACTGGGGATGCACGCTATGGCACCTGATCCCACCTCCGATTTTTGAAAGGGCCGTGTTTTTCTGCTCCTATTTTGTATTTTTCATTAAGCATTTTGGAATACTTGAAGTGGAAATGATGTGGTCAAGTTACAAATCAATCGCAGCTTTAAGTTAAGTACTTGGACACGAATTTGAAGAAAATTTTTTTAAAATTTTCTGATGATAAGACAAATGTTGCAAAGCATTTCAAACGGAAATATTATGAGTGTTTATAAACTTCCATTACATACTTGAAGCTATAAAACAACGAATTTCGGAACGTGTTTTATTGACAATATTCTGACGCTTTATACCAAGATTTTGAAAATGTTTTTTCTCAATCAGTGCATTTAATTTTAATTCAATTTTTTGATGTAATCTAATTCATTAATGTTTCTTCTCCCCAAAAGGGGGTCCCTTATTGATTTTTCACGAGATGTATTTCAGAGAAAATGAGCTTTATGTACTTTTTATAAATAAAATTTTTGAAAAAAATTTTGATAGATAAAAGTAAATTTTTATGGTTATTCTGTGAGCTTAAAAATATATATATACGGAGGGATAAGACAAAGTTTGTTGTGCTATGTATGAAAACGCTTTGGGAAAAAATTCTTATATTAAACTTATGAAATAATTATTTTAAACAAGAGGCCCATGGGCCACATCGCTCACCTGAGTAACTTGGGTGATGCAGATCTTGACCAGATTCCCCCTCTTGCTATACCTATCATGCCCAACAACCCCCTTCCCTTTTTTATTTTAAAACTTTAGAATCTACACTTCTCAAGGATGCTTCCACATAAGTTTCAGCTTTCATGGCCCAGTGATTCTTGAGAAGAAGATTTTTAAAGATTTGTTCCATATTTTTCTCTGTAAAACTTGGATTCCCTATTGTGGCCCCGTCCAACCCCTGGGTGTCATGATTTTAACAATTTAATATCTACACTACCCAAGGATGATTCCATATAAGTTTCAGCTTTTGAGGCCCGGTGGTTTTTGAGAAGAAGATTTTTAAAAAATTTTTCTATATATTCCTATGTAAAACTTGGATTCCCTTTTGTGGCCCCGCCCTACCCCCGGAGGTCATGATTTTAACAATTTAATATCTACACTACCCAAGGATGCTTCCACATAAGTTTCATAAGTTTCAGCTTTTCTGGACCAGTGATTCTTGAAATGAAGATTTTTAAAGATTTGTTCTATATATTTCTATGTAAAACTTGGATTCCCTATTGTGGCCCCGTCCTAGCCCCCGGGGTCATGATTTTAACAATTTAATATCTACACTACCCAAGGATGCTCCCAAATAAGTTTCATCTTTCCTGGGCCAGTGCTTCTTGAGAAGAAGATTTTTAAAGATTTGTTCTATATATTTCTATGTAAAACTTGGATTCCCTATTGTGGCCCCGCCCTAGCCACGGGGGTCATGGATTTAACAATTTAATATCTACACTACCCAAGGATGCTTCCAAATAAGTTTCAGCTTTCCTGGCCCAGTGGTTCTTGAGAAGAAGATTTTTAAAGATTTGTTCTATATATTTTTATGTTAAAGTTGGATTCCCTATTGTGGCCCCGCCCTACCCCCGGGGGTCATGATTTTAACAATTTAATATCTACACTACCCAAGGATGCTCCCACATAAGTTTCAGCTTTCTTGACCCAGTGGTTCTTGAGAAGAAGATTTTAAAAGATTTGTTCTATATATTTCTATGTAAAACTTGGATTCCCTATTGTGGCCCCGCCCTAGCCCCGGGGGTCATGATTTTAACAATTTTAAATTTCTACACTACCCAAGGATGCTTCCACAAAAGTTTCAGCTTTCCGGGTCCAGTGGTGTTCTTGAGAAGAAGATTTTTAAAGATTTGTTCATATATTTTTATGTTAAAGTTGGATTCCCTATTGTGGCCCCCCCTCCCCCCGGGGGTCATGTTTTTAAACAATTTAATATCTACACTACCCAAGGATGCTCCCAATAAGTTTCAGCTTTCTTCCCCAGTGGGCCCTGTGGTTTTTGAGGTAACGGACTTTGAAAAAGTCCAATCCAAAATGCTGTATCTCTTAATTATCCCCCTTTAAAGTGGGTGTGACTCTTCATTTTAAACTTGAGTTCCCTTTACCCAGCATTATTCTGTGCCAACTTTGGTTGAAATTGACTTAGTGGTTGAAGAAGAAAACGTGAAAACTTCAAGACAGTATAATCAACGAGGACAATGAACAGAATTTGATTAGAAAACCTTTTGGTAATCCAATTTATACTCATAGTTCTTTTTCCAAGGAAGAAATACTTCAAAATCACATGTCAGTTTTGAATATTTTTAATATTCCGAAGAACCAAAATGAATTTGAACTACCATATATTGGATTTCGAAACTTCATAGGAATGCTTACAAAGACACGTTACAGGTTCCAGTAAATTTTCAACCATGACTCTTTCTTTACTCCTCACTAAGATATTGACAGTAGTGAAGGAAAAGGTTAAGCTGCTTTTTCAATAAAAATGAATCTCGTAAATTTCCTTCCCTGTTCATTGATTATTTGCAAAATAATTTTGTTAAAACACATTCTGATTGCACACACAAGTACTCTGAAGTTGACATCAAAAAGATGCCGGAGTTTCTGATTGACAATATTTATGTGATTTTTGAAGACCAGGTCTTCCAACAATCTATTGGAATTCCCATGTGTACCGATTGCGCTCCGTTATAAGCAGACTTAGTCTTGTATTCATATGAAGCAGAATCTTATACGTGAAAAGAAGAAAACACTTGCTGTGGCCTTCAACTAGACAATTAGATATATCGACGACGTATTTTCAACTATTAATGATAACTTCTATTCCTATGTCGATACGATATATCCTGATGAGCTTGACATAAAAGAAACCATAGGGTCTTTAACTTTTCTATCGTCAACTTCTCCATCTTATGCAACAATATACCTTCATCACCTGCATACGGAGTTTATATATCTCAGTTGAATCGATACACAAAAGCATGCTCTACGTATGAACAATGTTTAAAACGAGGTAAATTATTGACAAACAAGTTGATGGAACAAGAATATCAGCAGTCTCGTTTAAAGTATAAAGTAATCATTTCGTAAGTTCGATGGTCCATACAAGGACCTTGTCATCAAACTCAATTTATCATTGAGTCAAATGCTGACTGGCATGCTTCATACTTTCTTATTATTAGTCCATTATTCATACACTGAATTGACGACGGAATTTTTCCGTCA